AACAGCAAAACTCAGGCCTAACATAAGCTAGAACTATGCATGTGCTTGACTTTCAAATTATGACACTCACCAATTAATTGAAATTCCTTCTAACACCTTTAAATTCAATTGTATCATTTGTAACAAATGCAAAAAAATAAGTACTTTATTTCCTTCTCTTTTTACCTCACTTTTTCTGTATTCTATATTGGAATCAAACTTCTCCACTGTTTTTTCATTCTTTTATCCCATTCTTTCTTTTTTTCCTATATCATGTTTTACCTTTGCTCTTTTTTTTTTCTGCTGTTGTTCTCCCTTCTCTTTATCCATTCTGTCTTCCTCTCTTGCTCCGCATTGGCACTTGAAAGAAAATACTCTCAGCCAACAGCCAAGATCTAGGTGTCTAGAAACAAAACCTAACTGCAGAAGACAAAATGCTGCAGCTTCCCAGAAGAGGCAGTTCACTGGATTTCACCACAGAGCTTTCTCTAAACCAGATCAGCTCGGAATGTAAATTTAACCTTTTTCAGCTTCTCATTAAAAGCTATATGATCAGTCTGAAACTCTCCATCCTACAGTCTTCTCTGGTTGCGAGAATGTAAAGAAACAATCCTATCTTTTTCCTCAAATCACTTAATCTCCTGGTTGCTAGCAATCTGTATTAAGCCATCTCTTTCCCAGAAAAGGATTGAATATTTTTCTCTGCCAAATGAATATAGGCTCTTTTACCTACAATTTGAAACTCTCTCAAACAGCAGTGTGCAAATCAGTGTTTTCTCACCTCCCTATGTCACCCAGTTGAAGAGCTCACATGAATAAGGACAATATGCATAAAGAAGTCTTAATGTATTGGTGAATAATCTATTTTTCACATGAAACCGTCCAAACAGATTCCAAAGCTTGGGAAGTCACTGTAAAGTAACAACTTACAGGAACATCTAGGAAGTCTTTTTATTACAGAACTATACACAAAAGTTAGAAAGTAGGGCTGAGTTCTCATGTGACTTTTCATAGTCTTGCGAATACTGATTTAAACCACTTCCAGACTTGATCACCACCATACAATCTACCCAGATTCAGAGAGCTCATGATAGCATATTAGCAAACCTCCACGCCTGCCTGTGCTTGTTACCATTTCACCTTCCCACTGAGGCAGTTCAAAGAGCAGTGATACCTAGAGTAATTAATAATGAAGAAATAGTCAACTAGCTGCCACTGAAATAGCACTGAACTCAAGTGGCAGGAACAAACAGTGTCCCATATAGTTTCAGAACTGATAATCTCAACCAGTGGAAAATACTTATATTTTTGCTTTTTTTTTTTTTCTTCATTCAAAGTCTTCCCAGAGCCTCTTCACAACTTAGTTCCAGTAACAGAACATATTTTTCACTGAAGCATTTGTAATGGAAGGAACAGGAATGAGGAATGTATGTGTCATTACTAAAATCATATTAGCACTACTGAGCATTAGTGCTTGCTTGGCCTGAACTTTTTTCCTCTAAATATACCAACTAGAAATACTGAAAACTCACAGAAAATGGGGGCAATTGTGAAACACCTAAAAAGGAAGGGGGTCCAGCAAATCATCTGGATGAGCTCAATAAAGCAGAGAATTGTGTGAAAAGTGCACTCTTAAATTTAATATAAACATTAATTTTAAATTAGTATTATTGAGGGAGCAGTGCGGAAAGAGATCATGCAAGAATAGAAACAGAGAAATTGAAATGCTAGCACAGTTGTACATCTTATGCTTGTTATACCAGAAAACAGGGAATCACTGGAGTATTCCAGACTATGCTAAAAGCTGGAATGAGAACTTATGACGAGGATACTTGTTGCAGTATTCTGTATGAACTAGAGTAGTCTGCTACTAGGCTACGCACTCAAAAGTTCCCAGCAGTTAAGAACGATATGAAAAAAGAGAGAGAGAGAAAATAATTTCTTCAATATAAGGAGTTGGAAATAAATAATCTGTGTATTAAAAGAATCATATGAGAAAACACCAGCATGACCGCTGTATTTTGGCATTACCTGAAAGTGGAAAGCATTATACAACTGGTTAATATTTTTGATTTTGTCTAGTATTTCTCAGTCCTCCCCACACTTTTTGGGAGTAACATAAAACTCTTGTGTTTTCAGCAGACCTCTTATACTCAAGAAAGAAGATAACTTTTCATTAATGAAATGTCTTTTGCTTAACCCATGAACTCTTATGTTCATGTATGATACAAACTATCAAAAATACAACCTCGTCACTAAAAATATAGTAGCACATCAAAACAACAGGATACACTTTAAAGTATCAGGTTTTATGAGCCTACTGAAGCACACAATGATACAGTACACGAATATTCAAGAGCTGCCAAACAAACAGCAAGGAAAGAAACTGTAAAAAGAAACTACAAAACAAGGGATGCCTTGCATCATTCCAATCACATAAGCCTTTTCTGGTGGGTAATCCACCATAATCTCCAAAAATAAACTGTATTTAAAGACAAGTAATCCATTCCCTATTTGCAGGCATTTCTTTCTATATAGAACAGTAGTTCTCCTCTTAAGCAAAGGACAATACATGGGAAGGGAGGAAGGGGAGGCAGGGAGAATGAGTTTGCCCATGCTCTGCTCTATCCCAAAGTACTTCCAGACCAAGCAGTCCATTCCCCTCCCTGGAAAGCAGCTGTCTCCTTTTGTTACTCATTAGCCTTGCAGCTCAAGCAGCAGCAGTTTATGCTGCTGAGGATACCTGGTTTTGGGGAAGGGCTGCTATGAATACTCAAGCATGGATCTTTTTATGCATTTAAAAATCCTTAGGAACACAACTTGAAAAACTAATTTTGTTGTCTTTGGAGTCAGCTGCAGGGAACTGAAAATACCATGCAACCGTATTACTACTCTGGTTAGTTATGCCTGTTACATCTTTAGTTACATGACCGTATAACTCTTCTCCTCCCCCCTTCTCACTGCAACAAATGGTAGCTTTTCCACTGCTCCTTTAATCCTGGAAGAACAATTGTCAGGACAAAGAATATTGTTTTCTGAACCAAAAAAGAGAGCTGAAGCAACATCTGTGTAATCACATTTGTTTGGGAATGTGACTTGATTAAAAATAAGGAATAAATGGACAGTAGAATTCCCAAAAGCTAAACAGAAAACTTTTTTTTTTTTAAACTTTACTATTTGTGTTTCCACGGAATGCCTTCTTACTTTCATTCACAGATCAGGAGCAGAACCTAGTTTGACAATTACAGGCTAAGAAACAGTACCTCTTGAATGAGACAGTTAAAAAACATAGCTAAACTGAAGTACAGCAGGCACTATAAGGAAAAACATAAAATCAGCAAATTCTTACCTGTTATTTAACGTGGTTGGCAGAGGATGCGTTGCATTGGGTGGCACGGTTGCATGAGTGAGAGGAGAAGGGTTCTGTGATATTGTTGCTGGGGTCTGAATTACCCCATTTAAAGCCCCTACAATTCCATTGATTGCCAGCTGGCTGGCTGGCAGTGCTCCAATTATTCCACCCACACCAGGCACTGCAGGAATGGTGGAGGTTACAGTCTGCATACCACTAGCTAGTGCCCCCACTGTCACACCATTGACCTGTTGAACTCCTGTGACTCCTGAGCCTTGCTGAGCTGGACTCTGCCCAGCAGGTGGTGGAGTGGAAAGAGCTGATGAACTGCTGGTGCTTTGTCCGCTGGAGGTTATCTCCTGGTGTAAAAAACAAACAACAAAACCCCCTCAGCTGCATAAAATTTCACCTAACAGCACAATGCAAGGACTATGATGAGTTAACTTGTAACAAGTTTAAGTTCAGAAGAAACAAATAAATATTACCTGATTTAATACAGGAAGAGAATTGTCAGGTAAAAAATTGTTTCCCAGATGAGGGCTTTTACTGCTGTTCAAGGAATCAGTGCTAGGTGCTAAAGTAATTATTTCAAAAAACACACAGTGGTTAAACTTCTGTAACATGTAAAACAATTCAGAATAATTATTTCAAAATAATGTCAAAAGTAAATATGAAGATGTAAAAGTCAACCTTAAAATCATTGCTGAGTAGTAAATTATTAACTAAATAATTGGTGAATCAATAGATTCAAACAGATGTGCTCCAGATTGAAGTAAAAATGAAACTGCACTGAAATGAGTAGTAATGGTTCATATAAACCTTCAAATTGACTTTTAAACATTTAAACACACCAACAAATACTTAGTCTATATTCATCCTATATGTATGCGCATCTCCAATCAATGGCATATGTGGACGAAAGAAATATTTCATATAAATACATGTTCGGATAACTTTCACACTTTAATACTCTCCTCTACTTACCTGCTTGTACTGGAAAGGCATGTACTTGATGAGAAGGACTAGGATTTGAAGTTATTGTTGGAAAGGGCACCGAAAGCTGTGCATTGAGTAGCTGAAGCCGCTCCTTCTTAGCAGTCAGATTCTTTATCTGTTCTTCTAAACGCCTATTTTCAACCTGAAGTTGGTGTAACGATTTAAGCATTCCTAAAACTAAGGTAAAAATGGATATGTTATCTTTCACAGCCTCATTCAAAGAATTAATAACATTTAATTTTTCAAAATTTCTTTATTACAATTTAAGACTAGCATTAAGTTGTACGTGAAAACCAGAAATAAAATTATTACTGAGAGATACATTACAGAAATTTAAGTGGAAAGGTTTTGTGACATTTGAAGTGCAGAAAAAAGTATGTAGCATGTGACAGTAATTTTGCAATATATCTATCCCCTGGCTTAAATACAAATGCAGTCGCATCATTAGGGCTGACATTCATTTTAAGCAAATAGCAGTATGTTGTAACATCCCCGAACTAGAATATAAAAATATTATTATTTTAGCAGCACAAGTTAATTGCATAGTTGGGAAAAAAATCTATTTCAGCTGCAGTATTAGAAATTTTAAACATTATCAAAACAAAAAAAGTTTGACAAAAATACATTCAACTAGCAATACAGCCAACCAACAACACACATGTAAAAACAAGCAAGTTTGTGAAAAGGGAGTTTTTCTTCTTAAATGCCCTGTACAGTGAATCACAAACTTATAGAAACAATGAAAAATATGTCATCCAACGTGAAGTTATCATGACACACCTTGTTGGGAGCAGAGCTCTCATTTGCTTTGAGCAGCGATCTACAAATCACCCAGCAGGGAGCACTGTGTGAGCACTGCAGTTACCACCCCTTTTTCTGCAGAAAAAGGGCATTTTCTGTACTAACCTGATTTTACCAAGCACAGTTTTTTCAACTCCAATTTGGTTTCAGAACTTGGATTTCCCAACTAGTACTAGAGTGTGACTGTAAAGCCACAGGGATAGCCTTCTTTTTTTTTTTTTAATTCTAAATTGTATTTGTTTAACATGACCTCTGGGCCTACTACAGACATAAGTCTACTGGTATAGGCACATCTGGTCATTTCCCAAGGATTTAGCTTTTATCCCTCCTCTTCAAGAACATACAAAGGAACCCTCAGTGAGCCCAAATGAGATGCAATAAGACTTAGCTAAACCTGTCCTCCAGCTATCATGTTTAAAGGATTATCCCTGCATGAATTTCCTCACAATTAGCATTTTTGTCAGGATACCATTCATAAAAATAACAACTAGATACCACTTTACACTACCAATGCAAAGAATTATATGTTCAATAAAATATAACACAAACCCTAACCTGGTATTAAAAAAAATTTTTTTTTAATGTATTCAATTTTTGCCTTTGATTGTTGAATATGGAGATCCAAGTGATCTACTCATCACTTATGCTTTTAACGTATTCATTCTTGGACTATTCCACTCTATTAAACATAACTTGAGAAAACAATTATTTGCTTGCTTTGAGAATTTTCATGAGAAGCATAGAACATAATAAAGATACAAAAGCCCAGTAGGACACTGACCTAACATTTGTAAATATTTTTTTAAAACATCAACAGAAGCAGACAGTTTGGAATTAAAAAATGAAAAATGTAAGAATAAAAAATTATTATGTCCATTTATATCACACAATATAAAGCAAACTGGGGAACTATGCTATACTATTTACAGCAGTGGATCGAAGAGCCCAGAACTCATTTCCAAACTCTGCAACCGACAAGCTGGATCTGCAAGTCACTTCCTCTTCCATGACACAATTTCCCCATCCATAAAAATTTAGCTAATTATAGAGAACACTTTTGTAATCTACTGAAGCCATGTGCTGCATTAAGAACTATGTTACAATTGTACACTACAGTTATATTTCTAGTCACAACAGAAAGGTTTTTTTTAAACTCTTGGACAAGCACCAAACAGCAGTTCTGAATAACACAGTTAACAAAAGCAGTAATAAACAGAACGTGAGTACTTACTGTCACTAGGGGTGCCTTGCTCTAATAAAAACTGTTGTCCTTCACTCCATTGCCTCTCCAGAAGCTGTTCTATGCTGGCTGCTACTGGGGGCAAATTTTCCCCACAACTGTTCCCTGATTGATCATAGCGAATCTGCAAACTGCTTACAGGGGATCTGTTGAAAATATTGCAATTCATTGTTTAAAGAAAAGGATGGAAGTAAATGTACACTTCCAAGAGTAAGATAATTCATCAAAATCACTAAGAACTCCTGGTTCTCACTGCCAAGGCTTTAATAAAAGAAAGATGTAGTATTTCACAGTGCGAGAATTTATACTGAGAAAGCACATAACCTCTTCTTGCATACAGACTAACATAATACCTAACTGAAAAACAGCATTGTATTATATTAAACAACACATACTTCTACAGCAGGAAACCATTGTATGTGGATATATAGAGCACCTGTCTTAAAAAAAAAAAAAAAAGCCTTCAAACCTTTCCCACAGAAAACTGTGAAAATAAAAACAAAATCAGCACAGTAATGATACTTCCACATAGAAAGGCCATATATAATTCCACTAACTTGTTCTTAAAAAAAAAATAAAATAAAATAAAAAACACACAAACACCACACCACAAAACTAGATTTTTGAGGGACTACATTAAAATAATTATTTCACAAGGGATGCAATGAAAGTTACAGTTATCCTCTACCTGTCCTGTGCACACTTCCTTCATCACCCATGACCACACATATGTCAAAGAATAATCCCTTTGCCACACATCTTTTCTCATTCAGGAGAAAGTTAAATATTCAGCACACAGCCACTAAGAAAGTTGGGCAACCCTCAGGTCCTATAAGTAGGCTCCTTTTGCAGAATGGGGCAAAATTTAACCTGTGAGCAAAACCAGATGCTCAGTATATTTCTGACTCAGGATTCTGGCCTCATGCATGCATGGTCCCCTTCCTCATACAGGACCAAAACCAAAGCCCACTAAAAGTTGGTTTATGTTTTTGTTTGTTTGTTTTTTGTTTTTCCAAAATCAACTCCAGTGATCTCAGATTCTTATTTATCTTATTTATCTTATTTATTTATTTATCATTATCTTATCTGGTGCCATCACAGGACCACAGCCATACTGTTCTACAGGTAGTGCAAACTTACCAACAAGATCACCGTGGTCCCAGTACAGGACAACATACAGGGCTCAGGATATCAGTGTGTTAATTATGATTAACATAATAAGCAGCAGTCACAGCACATTAGCTACCTAATGACTGTCAAGCGTTTTGTAGGCACCAGAGCAAAGAGATTTTTATGAGAAAAGGTTTTAAGGAGATGACTTAAGAGGTCTGTATGTATTTATAAATAATTCCTCTTTTGCATACAGGATGAAAGAAGAGAAACTCCTGTTAAAACAAAAAGCCCTGATGAATGGGTAACCAAGGTAGTGTTTTTTGACAAGAGATGACAACTCAACAGCATTTAACAGTTCAGCACAGACCTGGCAAAAACAGTCTTTAAACTAGTTGTTTACATGATGTGCTGAAGTGATAAGAAGGAAGGTTTATGCGGAAACATTCTGAACAGATGTACTGCACTCCACACAAACAACACACTTTAAAAAAAAGTACAAACCAAAACCAGAAAACAAACACAGAAAACCACGACACAACCCCCCCCCCAGCAACTTCCTTCTCTGTATGCATGTTTTTGAAGGGCGCATAACACTAATCGATTGTGCCATTTGAATTATAAATCACCAACAAAATTCTTGCTGGGTTTAGGACTGTTTCCTATCAATTTCAGAAAGGTAGAAACAAAGCAACATATGACTGTATAACCTCTACAATCCTTCCATGGAAGCCTGTACAGCAGGACAAAAAAAAACCAATCTAGATTTCCTTATATTGCAACTTTAATCCATCTATCCTCTTCCAGGTGAACCCCTACCTCATCCATTAGATGTGATACGGTTCCTGCATACTAGGGCTGAATCCTTATTCCAAAAAGTATTTGATCATCGTTTCCAATAGGATTATGACTGTGCTTTTTGCACAGGTCTGATACTGTCACTGACATGGGAATCCTTTGTTTCATGTGTCATACCTTGCTTACTTTCACAACTGTTTTTTTTTTTAATTTTGGGTACAGTTATTCATATTCTTATAGTATTAATTGTGAGCAATACTGCATTTAGATATAGGCATACAAACATATTTTAAGGCAGGTATTACATAACACATTTTTAAATCTAAGGTTAAGCATGAAGTAAAAAAAGTTTAAGCGCTACCTTGGGAAAAGCGGCAATTCCTTTGCAAAACGGAAACAGCTCACATATACCAGGTTATATTTATATTTCTCATATATATTAAAATTTTAAGTATGACAGCTTAAACATAAAACACTGTGGCTATACAGGGGTACAAAGATATAACAATATGAATTTGAAATGATCATACAGCTCATGAGTTACATACGTCTTCTCCAAAGAGCTGCAAGTGGCTGCATCATCAACAGCAAACTATTGTTTCTGCAAGTGTTTTTATTTTAAGAAACTATTTGAAAATTACATGGCTCTTTCGGAGAAATATGTTATTTATGAATCTCATAAGCTTCAAAGGGAACAAAGTCAGAACTTGCAGAAAAATAATTTTAATACATAAAGCAGGTAACATTCACAGTTGGAAAGTTTTCAGATTTTTGAAGTTAGTTTTTTGTTCACTATAAACCACATTTTAAGTAACCAGAGTTACTGAAGGTGGGGAGTTACTACACATTTTAGAAATGTTGACGTGTGTGATCTTTCTTACTGCACAAACCAGAGGTGAAATTTGCTAGCTACTGAACTCAATTGAATGCGTACCTTTTCTAAATTTTTTCCATGCTAGGTATTTCAGACTAAGTTTTTCCATCTTTCAATTTTGGCACTACAGCAGTGATTTTACCCCTTCCCACCCCCCCTTTTTTTTGGCTTGTTTTTGAATAACTCTACTGCCAAGCAAAAGCTATCTGCAAAGTGATACATCTTCCATATGCTGAAGGAAGCTCTGCAATTGTGGACTGAGGTGGCCTTTGTATCATACAATTATCCTTTGCCATCCTCATCAAAACCAGCTGAACTTTGACAATGTTGTAAGTGCTAGGCTATATGTACCCTGAACATAAACGCCATTAAAGAATCATATTTAAGAAGTTTAGCTTCCCAAATATTCTACCTAAAGATAGCCTGAACACAAATATGGCCTACCACAAAATGCACAAAGACCAGGCCTTTGCATATTAATTAAGATTACATTAAAATTTGTAATTACCACAACATGTATGCATAAGAAGACTACTTAATATATAACAAAAAGTTCTGGAATTTCATAATTGTTGAGCATTTCCCTTTGCAAAATTCTCTTAACTTACTTGTATACATACAGACATGTTCCTTATTTATAAAAATCTATATGCTAATGTAAATACTGAGAACACAGTCTAAACTTATTTGTAAATTCTATTTATTGTTTTAGAAGCAACACATATTGGAAAGCTTAAAAGCCACTTCATGACTAGGTAATACCACCTAAGTATTACAAAGGATATTCTCATCCCCTTTGACAAGTAGTTTTTTGATTAATTAAGGAATATAATACAAGATCAACACCACCAGGCATGTACGTTAAATTATCTAATTTGGAGATATTTATTATAAATTACTGTAATAAACACATGCTGTAACAATCAAAATGTCACAGTGCTGCATCTGTGTAACTAACATTTTATTAGCTATCCTAAAATTGTTTAAGATAAAATTCCCCTGGTTAGTCCCCAAGTAAAAAAAAAACAGAGTAATAACACTGTAAAATCTATTTCATATGGAATCCAGTACAGAAAATAAAGCTCTTTAAAAACAAAGATTCCCTTAAAATACATGGAAGATATTACTGAAGTGTTTAAAACACAATATTGACATTTTAACAGCAATTATTTTAAAACAAAATAATGTGATACAATTCCAGCAGAATTCTTATGTCAAACTTCTGTAGTAGAGGTCAATTGTGGCAGAAAAAAAAAGTACTTTTTTTTTCCACAGAGAACTGTTGCATATTTTTAAGTCAAGAGGGAAAAGGAAAAAAAATATTTGTTTGGAATTTTTACTGAGATTTAACTTCTCAGATCATCTTATTCCTGTGATTGTTAAAATTTTTTAATTATGGGATTTGGGATTTTTGCAAATTTGACTAAAAATATTATTACAATAACAAATCCAAAGAGATGAGGAGTAGTACGTGTGGATTACATGACAGATAAATCCCTCTAAAGCAAGTCTCCATTTCTTAAGTAAAGTCCTTCACTTGTAAACCTCATTTCAGTTTTTACAGAAATAAATTTCAGCACATTTTTAGCTATCTGGACATCTTAGGGATTTTTTTTTAAGAAGGATATATCTATACAAAAATAAATTTATTTATACGTATGTGTATACATACATATATATATGTGTGTGTGTATAGGCTTTTAAAACACTTACATATTACTAGTAAAAGACAGTGAAGTTTCCAAATCTTAAAACATTTCCTCTGCTTGCACTCTCCAATGTAAATAATGCTTACCGTGGCGAGAGACTTCCTCTGGGTGAACCTCCTCTGCCAACAAGGCTGCGGCTATTATCTCCAAGATCTTGATCTGCAGTGTAAATATTTCACAGCTGATAAATCGACTCTTCTTAGACAAGAGTTTTAAAGCTGATGTAGATATTTTAAAAATACCTTAAATCTCAACTTCTCTCTGTAGTTACTCTGAAGAGTGAATACGTAACTAGTTTAAGATTGCTGAACTGTAGCATGTAAGGTGTTGTCCTTACACATTTCTGAGGCTGTACCAGGCCATGGATTATGTTCACTTCTTTCATTCCTTTCAGTTTTACAGCACAGAAGCGTGGTTTGCATTTGCAGTACCCTCCCCTCAGCCACTTTTAATTTCTACGGTGAAAGTAATGAATCACAGCTGTGGACAGCTAATCTGTATGCTTATCACAGCAAATCCTGATGCTCTGTATTTTTTTAACACTTTGCATCCCAAAACAACTCATAAAATATATAATGCATTAAACTTACCACTGCCATCTAACAAGCGCACATTATTCTGCAAATTTACTGAAAACTTTATGAAAGCATATAATTCACTAATTCCTATTTATAAGCAGAAGCATAAGAAAGTCCCTTGCTAAAAAGGTAGTAAAACAAACAAAAAAGGCCTCATTAAATATACGAAAACGTTTTGCTTGGAAGGACTCAAAAGGGTTATTTTCCCTTTGGCCTCTCAATAAAATAACCCTATCTGCCCCCTTCAAGGTTGCCCTCCCCCTATTCTAAGTCAAGCGACCTCCGACCTCTTGGAGGGCAAAGACATGACTGATCCATTCTTGGTAAACTGCTAAACTCATTCCCTTCCCCCAAACAGGCATGACTACTACGACATGTCAACAAATCCTTACGGAGGGAATGAAACAAAGCAAAGCCACCGCTCATTAAAACTGTAGAGGACAGCAAACGGTACAAAAAGCCAATCGGTAAATATTCACAAGATTATTAAATGCTGCAGAAGTTCTCTAACCAGATCTCTTTCACACGAAGTTGTATGTAATGCAATTTCATGAATTATGCAAATAAAGTTTTAAACTATTCACGACAAAACCCAGAGCTGTGTTACTCTCTTGCAAAGAGCTTGGAACTGAACACATCAATCACAGAAGTCACAGGAGACATTGTTGCAT